GTATAATAGAATACATAAAAGAAAAATACAACAATTGTACATACATATTCCAAAATAAACTACAAGATAGGAAAACATAAGTGTTAAAATAAATATAATTAATTACATATGACTTATAATTTGATCTCTAATTGAGTTTCGAATAAGATCCATCTCCACTGAAGAGGTTACAGTTAAAAATAAATATTGATCTTTACTAATATGGTCATCATTTCTCGTGTTCATCTATATTTTCATCTTCAAAATGCTTGAATTCATAATCAATTTCATATTTCCTCATAATAAAGTTGTGCATAGTTTTGTTGCACTAACTATTTGAATTTGTGTTTCAAATTTGAACTTCAACATACTACGTAAAATTGCAAACCTATTTTTCCATACCATAAACATTCTTTTTGTTGTGCATCTTAAACTTGAATAATAATAATTGAACACCTTATTGTAATTTTAAAATCCAGATGAGTGCCTAAAATTAGGAAGGTGGTAACATTCACATTTATATGAACCAACATATTCTATTGATATTGGATAATCAAAATTCACTAAATAATATTTACCTAATAAGAAATAGAATTATTATCATGTAAATTGTAATTTCAATGTAAATATAAATAAATAATAATTACAAGAGAAATATACCTAAAGGTGGATGTGGGAAATTCATAGTTGGAGTTGTGAGGACATTCTCAAATACTCGTGCATCATGTGTGATACTTTCCCATCTCGGTAATGCAAATGTAAAACACATGTCCCAATCACAAACTGCCATCACATTTTGTATTGGATATCATTTTATTCCAACAAATCTAGGTTGTTCACTAGGACTAACTACACATGGGATATAAGGACCATCAATTGCTACAATAACATTTTAAAAAAATGGCCAATATTATCGATTGTTTTGAATTTTTGTATGGACATGATGAAACCTAGAATCTTGTGGCATGATGTATTTAAAGGCTAGTTAAAGACAAGTAACTAGTACCTTTTGGAAATGCCTACTTATTGTCTCTCCTAAGTGTTGAAACCTTTCTTGTATCGTCTTATTGCCTACGCCATGACCAACCATATCTAAGAACATTGATACCATTTATTGAATGCCCATTCATTTAGTTGCTTTTAAGTCATGTTTAACTAATTTAATGCAAAGTTGATTAAATACATGGTTTTCCATTTGAAACATCTCACAATAGCAAATGGGATGCATTTACAAAATGTCTTGTAAAACACCTGTCATACTCCTTTTTAAATGAAAAGAAAATAAGTATGCATAACTACACACATTGCATCAAAGGTTCAACAAGAAAAAAGTTTAGCCACAACCACATAAACCAATATGGGCTATAATGATTTTGGCACACCAGAATATATAGATTATGACGACAAGTAAGAACCAGGCTTTGCTAACCCAACACAATTTTCCTATACAACAAAAAACAATGACAAAAGTCTTATCTTACCAAGTGAGATTGGTTACGTGGATTTTTAAATATCAAAACTTAATTAATAGAACAATTCACCCCACTAATAATTTGAGAAAGGCACCATACATGGCATTTCCACTAGAACAATCCACCCCTTAACATTATTAAGCCTTCCATAAGGGGTCGAATAACTCAATTACATGATTCTTAAATTGTTGAGTTACAAATATCATATGCAAATATCATACACAAATAAAGACAGTGCATTGTAATACAAAATATTAGATGCAAAATAAGTATTGGCATCAAAAAGATATCAACACTTCAAGGTAACACTTAATTCCTGCTACATCAAATTGTTGAGCTGTGCTGTATGCTGTTATTGCTGGTATGCTATGTTGTGCTGCATGCTGATATAAACTGTTGTAGGTCGTAAGGCTGAGCTGTTGTAAGCCGTAAGGCTGAGCTATTGTAGGCCGTAAGGCTGAACTGTTGTAGGCTAGGAGCAGAGCAGGGATAGGTTGGTGTCTTGAGGCAGGTCTGTAGCTGGCAGATGGAGTTTATTCTTTTTGTTGTTTTTAGCTACTTAGTGTAGCAATTGGGTTGTATTTTATACTCTGATTTTTAAGCCCTAGGCCAAACCTTGTGTATATATTTTAGCTGCTTATATATATATATATATATATATATATATATGCATGCTCTTATCTGTATGGTGCTGTGGTGTTGTGCTGTGTGACGGCCAGGCGGGTCGTTACAAAAGCTATAAACATTTCTTTAGTAGACTTAGACAACATAAGTTGAGAGTATCGAGCATGCCAATCGTTATGACTTGTAATTTTTGTTATTTTGTTAAGCTCATCCATCACTTTAAGAATCGATGTGCCAAGTATTACTAGTGTGTTTAGGGTAGTTGAATGTGACCCAAATGTAGATGCACTTCTACTTATTACATCAACTATTTTTTTAAGGTGGAGCTTTCACCTTTTTTCTTTCATTTTTTTAAGAAGCTCCAGCCCTTTTCCTCTTGCTAGTACTTAAATTAATATTTTGCAATGCATAACTCATTCCAACACCAGTGTGTGCAATTTCTTCACTATCTCTTGATCCTTCCTTTAAATCTATATCACCACTCTCAAAGCACGAACGATATAGATCATCTTCATCCATATAATTAGGTAATATCCTAGAAGAGGGTTCACAAATGAATTTTCTTGTAGCCACCATATCCTTAAACAATGTAGTTAAATCATTGGCAAAAACAAGTCCTTTGTATCTAAATTTTTCATAAAGTGGATTTTCTTGCATGTTTACAACTAATCAACACAATGTATTACATAAAGAAATTCAAAAACTTCTAATGTCACATTAAAGGCCTTCATACTATTTGCTTTTTATCCCACCAGTCATCTTATGCATCTATTGTATTACATACATTATTCTATCCTAAACCTGTCTCTTTTCTAAACAACTTGTACCATACTAACCACTCCTTCTTAAGGTCATCTCACTTGTTTCTAAATTGACTCTTGCCATATATTCTTTCATTTTCCATGTTGAATTCAAATTCAATGAATTTCCACCTTTTTTGTAAGGTTAATACCATTTCGTTCTCCTTTATAACCTCATCCAAGCATAATTTAATAAACATCTCAGTGGCTTCAACATCCTATGCAGCTTTTGCCTTAACACTTTTATTATCTACAAGACCCTTTCTGTTGACGTTACTCATTAATCTATTATAAAAAAAATATCACAATTAATTTATATCCTCATTCAACTTGGTATAATAAATTTAGAACCAAATATTATATATATATTTTTTAATGTTTGCACACATTGCAAAAGTTTCAAATAACTTTTATCAAACTCATTGGTGTGCACCTTTGAAGATAAAAAAAATAATGAATCGAGAAAAAAAATCAACAATTCAAAAGAGACAATAACAATAATGAATCAAAAAAGTCAAGAAATCTCTGACGCATAAGAAGGGACAATAACAAAATCTTACCAATATAGAGAAATTGTGGTTGGAACAAGTAGCAAATGAATCTAAGAAATCAAAATAGACAAGAAATCCAAAATCAGAGAGTCTATATGCAGATGAAACCAAGAAATCAAAAAAGTTTTAAAAAAATCCAAAACTCAGAGAGCACACATGCAGGTGAATTTCGAACAAGTAGAGGAGGAGAAGAAATTGTGTAAGTCAAAGCAAAAGAGTTTTGAATCCAAGTAATTATGTTGAATTTTTTACTTCAAGTTGGTAGGTGAGGATAATGAAGTCCGTAGTTGAAACATAAATTCTGTAGAGAACGGAGAAATGAAATCTTCTCATTTGATGAAAAAATAACATAAGTGTTGCTTTGGATACAAAAGATGTTTAGGAGATAATGGGGTTCAACATAATCTAGAAGAAAAAAAAAACTATCAAATAAGCGGTTGCCACATTAATCAAAAGTGAACATTTGTTTGGATGCCCAAGAGATAAACCAAACATACCCTAAATCCATCAAAGTCATTCATGTAGCCAATTCTATAGTTTTTACAAAATTTAATCGTGATTATGTAATTATATGACTTTTATGAAATTATACATTTAACTTTTATATTTTTTTTTACTAGTGATCACTTATGCATTCTTAATAGTTATATATATTCTTTAATATCTACCGGTGTTAACCCTTTAAAATTTTTAATTTTGACTTAAATAAATATTTTGTATTTATAAAACAAAAAGTATTTATTTTCAATCCTTTTAACTGTACTTTTTTTATTTTCTCAATTTTTTTTCATCTTTCATTTTCTTATTTTTTAAATTTTGATTTCTATAACTTTTGGCATTTTTTCGCTAAATTTAATGATCAATCTAATAAAAAAACCAAAATAAAATATATTTTTACATGAATGAAATCAATTATTTTTAAAAGGACTAAAATCTAAACTCCTTGTTAACATTGACCAGAGAGTTATACAATAAAAATAAAAAGAGTAAAAGTTATAAAAAAAGGACTAAAATCTAAACTCTTTTTTAACGTTGACCAGAAAGTTATACAATAAAAATAGAGTAAAAGTTATAAAAAAGCAAAAATAAATATTTTTTAGTTTTACACTAATATTTTAAAAATTTTCCTTAAATTAATTTGATTCTGTTAAGGGATAAGAAAAATAATAATTTGAAACTCTTTATTTATTTATTTGGATACGGGGTTACTCATTCTCCCTCTCTTTTGACTGAAAAATTGTCTTTGTTTTATGTATTCAGTTTATACATGTGTGCATCGTATCAGACTATATAGATAAACAAGCAATAAAAAGCATAAAAAGAAAGTAGTGTATATTGTAATGAATGTATATACATTGAATTAAAAAAAAAGGAAAATAATCTACGAATGAGGCCATCTACCCCAGATAGCGGCAATTTACTAACTGGTCGTTTGACTTACCGGCCAGCTACCACCATGGGCAGATCCCACTTCCAACAATACCCCTCATTTTATGAATTGACAAAAATACCCTTCCCAACAACCTCTCTCCAACAAGTTATAAATGCCTACTCCACTCTCACACAGTGGTACCTCAGAAAACCGTAGTCTTTGTCTTTTATCTCTATACAGAAAGAAAGAGGACAATGGCTGGCACCGCTACCAACTCTCTCATTCCCACAAAAACACTACTCCCAAACCCAAACCATTCCCTCCTCCCTTCCTCCAACCTCAAAAGCAACAGCCAATGCTACTCTTCTTCCAGGCCCAGGCCCAGGCCCATCCAGGCCGTTCAGGCGGCGGAGAACAAGCCCGCAGCGAATGCAATCTCGGTGAGGCGCGAGACGACGAAATGGGCCGTGGACAGCTGGAAAACGAAAAAGGCCCTCCAGCTCCCGGAATATCCGGACCGGGAGAAGCTGCAGTCGGTGCTAAAGAGCCTGGAAACGTTCCCTCCAATCGTGTTCGCCGGAGAGGCCCGGAGCCTGGAGGAGCGGCTGGGCGAGGCCGCCATGGGGAGGGCCTTCCTCCTCCAGGGCGGGGACTGCGCCGAGAGCTTCAAGGAGTTTCACGCCAACAACATCCGCGACACCTTCCGAATCCTCCTCCAGATGAGCGTCGTCATGATGTTCGGCGGCCAGATGCCGGTCATTAAGGCACGTGCTGCTGCTGCTGCTACTGCTGCCTCCATTTTAAACTCTATTTATTGAAAGAACTAAGAGAGCAATGTAATTAACGTACGTGTGTGCGTGTGTTGTGTGTTAGGTGGGACGAATGGCGGGTCAGTTTGCGAAACCGAGATCGGGAGCGTTCGAGGAGAAGGACGGGGTGAAGCTCCCGGTTTACAGAGGAGATAATGTCAATGGAGATGCATTCGATGCCAAGATTAGGATTCCCGATCCTCAAAGGATGATCAGAGCGTATAGTCAATCCGCCGCCACGCTCAATCTTCTCAGGGCGTTTGCCACCGGAGGCTACGCTGCTATGCAGAGGGTTAGCCAATGGAATTTGGACTTCACGCAGCACAGCGAACAAGGAGACAGGCACGTTGTTCAATCGCTCTACTCTCTCTCTCTCTTTTTTTTACCCGTATCTTACTACTTGTTCTATTCATTTTTTATTTTTTATTTTGCCAAACACACCCTACCAGTTTTTAGTCACGTTTTCCTTCCTTAAAACAAGGTTACTTCTAAGACCTCTTCCTTCAAAAGGGTCCTACTCCTACTCGTCCTTTTCTAATTAATTGTTTATTTATAAATATCGAACTTGTTTCTAAAACAGAGTCAACGTCTCTGGTCAAAAAACAATATGTAAATTTTTAATTTTAATAAATAAATTTTAAATGCGAAACATATTTTTCTTAAAAAGTTTATATCTGATTTTACTTTATTATTTGGAGTGTAAAACTAGCGTCCTATTCTTTCTCTTTCTTTATTAATTATGTTAGTTTTTCAATACAATATTAATTACCCCTTTTCCATTTATACTTCTAATAATATAATGTAGAAAGTGGATTTAGTGTTAGTTTCGTTTCTAGTAAAAAAAGATTAATCATCAAATTAATTTTGTAAAATTACTTTTTTTTTAATCTATTTATTTGTTTTTCTTGTATGTGAAAAATAACATATGACACTTATTATGGAATCCTAATTTAAAAAAAAAAATTAAGAGACAGATAATATTTCTTTCTTAAAAAAGAAGAAACCTATTTAAGAAAAAAAAAAATTAGACAAATACATTAAAAAAGTTTTTAAAAAAATTATATATTAAAAAATATTTTTTTTAAAAAAACACGTTTTTTTTTTTCAGGAATAAAGTTTAACAAACGGGTCGTTGCATTCAAGTTTATAGTTAAGACTCCATTATGCACTTTCCCGTTTATAGTTACAGAGAAGATCTAGATTGTCCATCTTTGTTTGACAAAAAAATTATTTCTTTCTTTTCTTTTTTTTTTAAGTTTTTATCTGAAAAAAAATTCTACGGCCAAGTCTTTGCATTAAAAAATGTTTATGAGCTATTCTTTGTTAATTATTGAAATTATGATGCAGTTAGTTTTAATTCTTATGTCTTAACACAAATTGCATTTGAATAATACGGAAAGCTAAATTGCTTTCATTTTTGTATCTTAATATGATTTCCTTTAATTTTCATATGAACGGAAAACAAGTTTTCTCTTGATTTGTAACATAATAATTACAAAGATTGGTGCAACGGTGCTGTATATTTTCAGAAAAGGTAAATTATTTTGTCATGACAGGTACCTAGAGCTTGCTCACCGAGTTGATGAGGCCCTTGGATTCATGGCTGCTTCAGGCCTCACGGTGGACCATCCTATAATGCAAGCAACTGAGTTCTGGACTTCACATGAATGTTTGTTGTTGCCATATGAACAAACACTCACTAGGTTGGATTCAACTTCTGGTCTCTACTATGATTGCTCCGCCCATATGCTTTGGGTTGGGGAACGGACTAGGCAGCTCGATGGTGCCCATGTTGAGTTTCTAAGAGGAGTTGCCAATCCCCTTGGAGTTAAGGTTTGTTTGGATATGAAAACCCACTGCACTTTCATTTTATCAGCTTGTACATATAAACTTAACCATTTCATCTTTAGTCTCAACTTTCTAATGATGGGTAAAACAAAATGGCATCATATTGCAGGTAAGTGATAAGCTAGATCCAAATGAGCTTGTTAAACTGATCGAGATCTTGAATCCCCAAAACAAACCCGGGAGAATAACTTTGATCACGAGGATGGGAGCTGAAAATATGAGGATCAAGCTTCCACATCTGATCAGGGCAGTACGCAGAGCCGGACAAATTGTAACTTGGGTCACTGATCCTATGCATGGGAACACCATAAAGGCTCCGTGTGGACTCAAAACTCGCCCCTTCGATTCCATCATGGTACCATTCTTCATTCTCGTGACTAATTATTCTCTTTTGATTGGTTATAATTTAGGCATAATAAAGCTTTCGGGTGCTTTTAGAAATTAACATACATATGTCTGGTTTAAAATCATGTTAGTTATTGCCGTTTTACTCAGCATAAAATTGTTCGCTTCGAAAATCATCATGTCTTTTTAAACTTTCATCTGATTATCTGAAAGGCTTTAAAAAGAAGATTGGAAACTGTTAACACCATGGTGTCTGTAGTCGATGAAGTAGACGTATTTTTAGGGTTTGATGCATGGTTGTGGCCTGCCGAGTAGCTGTTCAAGGTTTGCTATATCTATACTAGTCCTGAATGGTGTGCTACCAAACTTGAAGTTTATATAATATTTAAGGTAGATTGGTAGCGGTACGGAAGTGAAGTACGAAAGCTGATACTTGGTTATTTTATGAACTAACGTGAGAGAAATGTCATTGTAGAGTTGGGTGGCATTTCTTTATCGGTCACTAGAATCCATGTGGGTAGAGAAATACAACATAGTTTGGTATTAGTTAATCTTCAACAACATTCCCATCATTAAAAAATATTTAATATAAAAGGATCTTATTTTAAGGTAAGATCGATATTGCGAATTCCTGTGCCACAGTATAGCTGGCTATAGAAATTAAATTAATGAAACATAAGGTTTTCATTTTTCAATGAACAATTGAACTAACCTTGACTGGTATTGAATTTGAATTCTTAACAACCTAAGAGAAAGCGACATCATATGACAGAGAACCCTGATATTCGATTATTGATTTGATGACCTAATGAATTGGACAGGCGGAGGTGAAAGCATTCTTCGATGTGCATGAACAGGAAGGAAGCCACGCTGGTGGGATCCATCTTGAGATGACGGGTCAGAATGTGACTGAGTGCATTGGTGGGTCGAGGACAGTCACCTTTGATGATCTCAGCTCACGTTACCACACACACTGTGACCCTAGGCTCAATGCTTCACAATCTCTTGAGCTTGCTTTCATCATTTCTGCAAGGCTCAGAAAGAGTAGGATCGGATCGGAGCAACTCTTTCCTCAATAGGCTTGTAAAATGGCTTTGCTCCTTTTATATATGGAGACAGCCAACAATGTGATTGAATAATGTTTTATGGACACCCGGTGTTAGTCTAGCAGAGAAGAGAAGATAAATTGAGAGAAATAAGATCTGTTAATTAGTATTTGTTGCAATGAGGTGTCTGTGAATGTTATTAGACATGGACATGGACCATTTAGCTATATAAAACTATGGTAATAATTGGATTCACATGTTCTTGACGACCAGAATCCATGTCGACAGAGAACTCGCCTACTCTAGTACTTCTATTTACTACATTAATCGTTTTATGATAAGTTTATGGTTGTCAAGCTTTTATTATTTCTTGTTATCCTTTATAGTGAGTCGCAAATATTTCTGATGAGAAAATAAAAAAATGATCACTTTAATATTCATGGTACATGTATGAAGAGATATATTATACAATCATACATGTATAACATATCTCTTTATATATATATATATATA